TATCTGATTATATCTGTTCATATCAGTCCTGATATCACACTGAGTCAAACCTTTATTCATTCATTGTCAGGCAACATCTATAAAAGTGGAGCATTAATGAATGTTAATGCTTCTGGAATTAGTAAAAATGTCAACACGGTGTTTGCTTCAGAATGATGTAACTTGACCGGTGAGTACAAGTTAAACAGTTGTAGTGATACACAGCATCAAAATCTATTCATCTTTCACAAAGAACCATACAGTATAGAGTACCAAGTAAAATTCAACCCACAACTTCAGTTTTGAATATCACACATTATTATAAATAAATGAGTAAAATACAATTGTTTATATAATTATGTCAGCTTTACTAGCTCATACACACAGAGCAACATACCGGTACTAAAAGAAGCACACATCCAACATCCAAGCAGCAGCAGCAGCAGAACAGATCGGCTCATGGTTATTGCTTTCACTTTCCTGTCCCACTCTCTAGCAGGACATGTCACTGACTGGCCACAAGACAACATAAGAAAGAAACATTTATATAGTGCAATGTCGGGGTAGTGCACATAGGGACTTCCCATTATTGGATAATGGAAAAATTATTTCTGATCCAAGAAAGATTTGCAAAAAATAATGATGCTATATATGGCTGAGCTCCACCCAGAAACAATGACACTCACAATAACATTATTCAAAGGCATTTAGAAATATTCTAGTAAAGTGGCATTTTCTGATTTGTGTAATGGTTAACATTGTGTCATATACTACACTGGAGAGACCTTTCAGTGCCTTTCATAATTTCAGAAAGACTTTTTGTATCCAAAGAGCAAATAATTCAAGATGATATTTTATCTTTCATGGTACACTGTATGTGCAAAGGAAAATCTCTTCTATCGAACATGTGGTTATTTCCCTTGAAGTCTGCTGTGACATAAACTGAAACAGACTGGTGGGCTGCCTGTAATGTGTCACTTTGACTATGAGCTCTTCAGTTCGCTAAATGTCTTAATTTATCAGAATCCTATATTTCTGAGCTGCTCATTTATAATAAGAATCGAATTTAATAAGTTGTGGTTTGTGTGGAAGAACTGGCATCCACTCTGAGGCTCAGAATAATCATTTTGCTTAAAAAAAAGGAAAAAAAAAAAAAACCACACAAAATGAGTGATGGACATGGTTTGGAATTGCACAATGAATACATATTCATCCTTGTGTGTGTCTATAAATTATTTGAGTGTGTGTTTCAATCCTTCAGGCTTCATTGTGTTGTTTTTTTTGTGTTATTTTTAAATTTTTTGGAAGGTAGTGGTGCCACTGAGGTTCACTCATTTTGCAACAGCACATGGTTAATTATACGCTGAGGTGGGAAATAAGAAAGTATGATTACTTTGCTGTAATTAAGTCTAATTTTTCTAAGTATTTGTACTCCTTTTTTAACCTTATCCTTTTGACTTTCAAGAAAAATCTCTACTTTCTACTCACTACATTTCCAGACACTACACCACAACATTTGTCTATAATCTTATATTTGTAGGCATAAGGTGAACTTTTAACATTAGACAACATCAAGTTTCCTAACAAATGTTACCACAAGGTATATATTGTATTTATCAAGCTAGTTTGTATTGTGACACCTAGTTATTAGCAGAGTTATTATAATGCTAGCTAACATTTAAGAGATTAGCAAAAGGTGTTGTTAGTTAGCCTTAGCTATTATTTTCTTAAGTTCCTTGGTGAAAGAGGCACTAATTTACCATCAGCAACTAGAATTAGTGTGTGACTTGAGGCAGACGTCTTTTGTGCTTTTACTTTCCTTACGTAAATGGAAGAATTGACAGTTTTCTGCTTTAACTTGAGTGAAGAATTTGAAGCCATACCTTGTCTTCAACCACAGGATTTATTTCGATGAGTAATTGCGCTGTTACTTGAGTAAAGAATTTTAGGTACTTTTACCAGCTCTGATAGTAGCCAAACCTATTCACACCTCCTCTTTGCTGTTTACAGTAGCCCAAGTCTAGAAACAGCTACACCGTAGGGGGCTTTATATATAATATTTCCTGAGATGATGTAACCAGTGATTACTGATACACCTCAGCCATGAAGCTTTGTATGAACTTGTGTGCTATTAACTGCAGTTTTAGGGGGACTTTACTGCATTCATGCATGACACATTCAGTTCCCATGGTTAACACCCATCTTTGATTTTCACCCACACAAATTACACAACATCAATCCAGTGCGGCGTCATGATAGCCGTCTGGGCAGGTGTGCTCGTGATCCTGCAGGTGGGTGTACACCCACCTGTCACCACCATCAGAGTTGGAAATGTTTAGTGTGTTGCACAGCCTAAATGGGGGTGGCCAGAGACAGACAGCTTCAGGCTGAATGTATTTACTGTTGTTTTATCCCTAGCGGATTCAAGAATACAATCGTGGGAAAGACCTTTGAACTTGGGCATTTCCTGAGATGCTCCTAATCCACAGTTTTTAAGTCAGTTTTTTTCCAACCAAGTTGAAATATTGACATGTTTCCATGTCATCTTGGGAAAGATAATTCAATTGAAGATTATATAACTGTAATATGCATTGATAGATGTTAACACAGTTGTTAATAATAACCTATTTTAAGGATTATTTTGTAGGCAGCACTTCACAGATGCATATGTAATATGGCTGAGTGCCAGCAGTTGCAGTAGTGTTACATCACATGGGTTTCGTGCTCTCACTGTGTTTCGGCAAAGCAGGACAGACAACTCATTCAGCTTTAACATTCGATACAGATGAGAAGAATTAATGCCACTGTCCGTTAAAAATCTTTCCATAAAACTGCTCTGACTCAGGGTATATTATAGGTTAAACAGGGTACATACACTATTAAGAACATAAATTCCAAGAACCATCTTGGCCATAATTGTATGTAATGCGATTAGTCTGGAAAAAAAGAACACTATTGGCATGAAACCATTCTGTCTGAATGTGTCATTCTGAACAAAGACTGCAGAGCATGTTAATAATTTATAGCTATATAAGATGGTATAGAATGCACAACATGCTGAGCCTGAAGGTGGATGGGCTACAGCAGCAGAAGACCACATCGGGTTCCACTCCTGTCAGCCAAGAACAAGAATCTGAGGCTACAGTTGGAAATGGCTCACTGAAACTTGTCGAAGAGGCAGTTAGAGATTGGCAAAAGACCAGGTGATGTTTTTCCAACCTTCAACTGATTGAACAATAGCATGAATGAAATTTTATATGTGGGAAGAAATCTCTTGTGCTCTCATTTGTTTTTGTTTTCTGCTATTATCTACTGGTACTATAATATGCTCAAGGTTCAATGTACAAACACTTTTTTTTTATAAACAAGCCCATTAATAGCAAGCAAAACAAAGAGCAGTTATATGGATTAGGCAACTTGTAATGCTGGAAATATACTATTCCAGGAGCAAACAGATTTATCATTGAAAACCTGAAAAGCCTGTCGTTATGAATGGCCCAGATGTTCATGGATTCTCTGTTCTCACAAAGAGAGTGGAAAATATTTAACTGTCAGTGGAATATTTCCAAACAACAGTCTGTAGAGTCTGTGTGTGAAAATGAGGACATGAACAGCTGACTTGTCCGTGTTGACCTCAGGGTATCTCACTAGGCTGAAAGAAGAGATCGGCATCAACAGTGGATAGTATAATTATCTGAAAACTTGGTGAATTTATTCATTTCAGTTAGAATGTTATATCTTATCTCATGCAAAATTCATAGGATTTTATTAGATTTCACATAAACACACTTATGCAAGTTCTTAAAAATTGCATTTGTTTGAGATTCTAAACAAATTTGTGACACTGTACATGAGAACAAATATAAGCATTGTTACAGTGAGTGATACATTTTTATTATAACAGTCACAGTACATACAAGATCTTCTGTTTTCTACAAGAAGGGTTTGGGGTCAAAGGTGCAACCTTCTCAGTCTAATACTGAGGAATCCTCCGCCTTGTATTGTATTCGCCCAGTAAAAAAAGTTTCTAAATTTCACGTGTTTCATCATCTTACCACAGACGAAAAGCTGCTACAGTGGAAATCTGAGCTCTAAGTCAGGCCATGTGGTAAATACGTAGTGTAATCAGTTAGACGCCAGATCAGGAGCATTTCCTTTTTGAGGTTGCATCACAGCGGTTGTGTTTACTTTTGTTTCTGAGTGGTTCCTTTTTCTTTTTCTGTTTTTTGTTTCTTGGAATCACTTTCTCTGAGTGTTAGACATGTGTGTTATTAAGTGCAGACATGTGTCATCCTGACTCAGGGCTTTAAAATTCAGCAAAGGATATATATAATAGCATAAATATGTAGAGCTTTTAACTAATTTATTTGTTTGGGGAAAAACCGTTTTTTTATATTTACATTTTCCACAGATTGTTAAAAAAAGAACAGCAATGACAAAAATATAAAAATAGATTTACTGAGTCTTATCTTACTATTTATTTATATGCCTTAAAGCATGTTATTCAATACATTATTTCATAATTTACAGCAAAAATAATTGGAAAAGAATGTAATTACTTAATTAGAAATAGAAATTCTTTTTAAATATTCAAGACCTAATTAAGTAACAAAACTCTAGTATAGTTTATATGCATATCTGGCATACAAAGCTCTTTATTCATTAAAAATGAAATATAGTATTTCATAGAAAACAGAACACCTGCCATTATTTTATACATTATGATTTGTCAGTTGGATTTACACTGTATTTGTCTTCAAAACAAATGCCTATGAATGATTACTAAATACTGTATTGATATTTGTAATCTTGGGAATATTTACAATGACTTTACAATTCTATTGTTGTTCCTCTTTCGGCCGTTCCTGTTAGGGGTCACCACAGAAGATCACTGGTCTGCGTATTTGGCACAGTTTTTATACCGGATGCCCTTCCTGACACAACCCTCCCCAATTTTTATCCGGGCTTGGGACCAACACTCAGAGCGCACTGTTGCATGCAACCCCAGTGGCTGAAGTTGGTTCCCTGGCCAGGAATCGAATGCGGACCACAGAGGTGAGAGTGCTGTGGCCTAACCACTAGTCTTCCAGGGACCCAACTTTCTGTTACAATTCTATTAAATTTAAAATTTGAATTGTAACTGTAATGCCGCTGGCAGTATTAAAATTGCTGGAGAATATGGGTTCATTTTGAAAGAGTATGAAACTGACACAAAATTGGTCCTTTTTTTTTCTTTAAATAGGGAAGGAGTTTTGGTCTACTCACAACCTCTTTATTATTCCACACAGTCATGTCACATTTACTGAGGTGAACCACTGTGACCTGCATGTAACCACAAATCTTTAAATACCCCATAAAACAAACAAACAAAAATATCTATTGGATTTTAGATGTAAAAACTTTAAAACGTCAGGTGTACAGTGGCGCAGAAGGGCAAGGAACCTACAAAAAAAAAGGTGCTCTCTCTCTGGGAAAAGAGCTTTTTTTCCCAGAAAGAGAGAGAGCTTTTTCCCAGAGAGAGAGAGCTTTTTTCCCCAAAGAGAGAGAGAGAGAGAGAGAGAGAGTGCTCTCTTTTCCCCGAGAGAGAAAGAGAGAGTGCTCTCTTTTTTCCAGAGAGAGAGAGCTTTTTTCCCAGACAGAGAGAGAGCATTCTCTTTTCCCAGAGAGCGAGAGAGAGAAAGCACTCTCTTTTCCCAGAGAGCGAGAGAGAGAGAGAGCACTCTCTTTTCCCAGAGAGAGAGAGCTTTTTTTCCAGAGAGAGAGAGCACTCTCTTTTCCCAGAGAGAGAGAGCTTTTTTCCAGAGAGAGAGCACTCTCTTTTCCCAGAGAGAGAGAGAGCTCTTATCCCAGAGAGAGAGAGAGAGTGAGAGCTTTTTTTCCCAGAGAGAGAGAGCACCTTTATTTCTTTCTAGGTTCCTTGCCCTTCTGGGCCACCGTAGTGAGGTGGTGGTGGTGGTGGGGTGAATGGTGTCAGTAATATTGTCACTTAAAATGATTCAGTAGCAGCCTGTTACTGCATGTGGGCGTTAAACAGCATATTTGTAAATGAATGGTGCTATTGCATGCTAGACAAAGTATTGAGGTAATCATAAGTTGTTAAAATTGGCCCTCCAACTCTTTTGTTTTTGCTAGTTAACAGTATTCATGAAGGATTTTTTAATGCTTGCTTTCATCTCATAAGCATAGGCATTATACATCTTTATCTCAAAAAATAATAAAATAATAATAATAGTAAAAATAATAATAACCAAATACTTGACTGAGCAGCTAGATTTTTTTTAAGTTAGCAACAGCAACTAAGCAGCACTTTTTACTACTTTTTCAATTATTATTTAAAAAAATGTAATTATTTTTAAAAAAGTGTTCCAGTAACCTAGCCTTGTAGGACAAATATTACAAAATATTTTATATGCAAGTTAATATTGAAAAACAATACGGAGAACACCAACATTCTTTTCAGATGTTTATATTTCTGAAAAGTACAACAGGTAATAACATACAAAAACAGTAAAACATAAAAAGTATGATGTTACAAAAGATACAAAATGTATATACATTCAGCAATATCCAGTGGGACATCTAATAAATTAAACATTCAACTAATTAATAATTGTGTTTGTTACAACATCAGAAATAGATTTTGAATAAATATAAAAGTAACAAAACACACTGGCTCTGTGGAAAACTTTAAACCACTTCACATCTTTGCCTTCCTCGTCTAGTGAGTGCTGCTTTCCTGTAGTTGCCTCCTAAAAAGATGAGAACAATGAGTAATGTTTCCACTCTTGTAGTAAATATAATAAAATAAAATTAAAAAAAACAGTGAATACTGATGATATTGATGATGTTCTCACCTCTTTTGAATGGCCTTCTGGATGTAATTCTTGGCAAAATTGGATTCTGGATTCAGACATCTTTTACCTGCACCATTCTTCAGAACAACTCTAAAACAAAACAAATAAAACAATTTACATAATGTAAAGGAAGTGAATTATGTTGTACTATGCTACATTGTTATGGGTATGGATTAGCCATTACTGAACTTACATGATTTCAACATTTTCACAAGACGCACTAGCAGGGTAAACTTCAATCTTGTCAATACGTTGTAGACGAACATTGTTCATCCCGTGAGCCTGACACAAACATCTCCTTACACTGGTCTTGAGTCCTGGAAAGAGAAGGAAAAAAAATATATTACAAATCACCTTAATTATGTATTTTAAAAAATGAGCCACATTTACTGAGATGTCATGCAGTTAAGAATCTTACCTTGTACATGAACAATAAGTAGACAGGCAAACACAACAAAAACTGCAGCAGACTTCATTTTCCTCTTGCTCTTGAACACACTCTTGGTGAGGATCTGAAGAGTCTGTTGCCTGATCAAGTGGACTGAATAAATGAGTGTGCTAAGTCTCTTTTATATGCTCAACTTGGTGTTTTCCATTCTCCCTGCATTAGACTGAGTCACTTTCATATTCCATCCTACTTCCTCCTGAGCCGGCTTTTTTTATTTCTTGGAAATACTTTATACTGTAATGTACTTTTATGGTTTACACTCAGCAGTGACTGAGACTAAACATCATCTCCTTATTAAAAGTCTTTACAGCATTACAGATGTACATATTTAGAATTTAATATAATCTCTGCAGAAAACTTATCTTAAAATCTTAGACTAATTATCATCTTGAGCAATATAATTCAGTTCAGAGAAAGCAAGCAACCAGTGAAACTTGCTTTACCAGGAGGATTGCGTAGGCATGTTCAGCAAACACCAGCACTATAATAGCACTGTTCAAATCAACCTGAGGTTTATTTTTGGAATTTTTTTTCAACAGGGATATTGATTTGTTCTTAATAAATCATACATCGGTATGTGCACTAAAACACACCCTGAACAGCATACTATGCTATTTTTGTGTCCCAGTGACAGTGATTAGACATAGTTACAGTGATGTGAGGAAAAATGCAATGTATAAAAATCTTTTTAACAAATATTCAAATACAGTTCGTTACATAGACATTAACTTCACTATTTACATTTCAACCATAAGAATTTATCACAGCGTCTTTAAGATAATTGTTCTTCATAGCAATGCACTATATGCAACTTATGTGTAACTTTTATATTCTTCTGTGTCTTATGAGATATGTATTCATGCCCTGAATTCTGCTATATGTTTCATTTTCCTTCTTCCTTTTTCTATATGACACAAACTTTATATTAATTTATAACTTACAACATTATGTTTGTGTGGCCTGTAGCCTCAGAGGAATAGGTTTGCAGGGTAATGGTACTCTAGTCATAGTTCCTGCTTTCTGTCTTTATACATCTTTGACCTTTTACCTATTTTCTTGTTCCTGCTTTTGGATCTCTGTATTTGACTGAAATCAATATCTTTGACCTAGCCTATTGCATGCCCCTTTTTTTTTAAACTAATGTCTTTCAAAATAACAACACTTCACACTAGAACTAAAATATCCTCACCCAGCTGGTTAGTACTACCACAGACAGGAAAGTTAGTATGTAGTATATACTGTATTTGAAATATTTTATGACAGTTGCTATGTTCAGAATTGGAATTAACAAATCAGGACTATGCCTTATATTTTGTGTGAAAGTAATTCAGCTGGAAATCTAGTAATGGAAATTTGTCCAAATGCAGATGTGACGTCTGTATAATTCCAAATAAGAAGTGAAACACTGATGTTGGTGCTATTTCCACATGATCAGTGTGTGTAGAAGACAAACAGAGAAGCAATGAGGCGAAGACAAACGATCTCTAATGGTTTATGTTCTATCGTTCACCTAATGTCTGTCATTCACCCAACACTAAGAAGCATATCACTGTGAATATATGCAGGGTTATACAGCAGTTAGTTCTGGTCCATTAATTTGATTGGTCAAACACCATTCCAAGAGTGCTGATATTTAGTATAACAACACGGGGACATTTCACTGTTTGTATCACTCTGTCTGTCTGTGTGCGCAAATTCCAATTCAAGCAACAGTTTTATACATTAAAGTTGTTACTACACTCACTACGGGCTGTCACTCAGTCTATGTGTTGGCATGGTAACATGCAACGCTTCTTTGGGAACTATGTCCATTAACCCGAACAAAAATAAAATCAAAATATTTGCCTATACTGTGTTATATATTAATTTCTTATTTATAGAACTGTTGTATAAATGTAATATCACACTCGCAATTTCATACATAATGTAAACCTAAATAAGTTCTTTTCATAAGACATACCAAGGTTATAGGTCTGAGGTATATAATTAAATAACCTAGTTAACATAAAACTGAAATGATAGCTCACTGGGCTTTGGGACACAAAACCAACATGAACTGATTTTTAACTTTATTTGATGAACATGATTATTAACAATTGGTACCAGCTCTACTATTGCTGTGTAAGTTTCCTATGCGATTTAATATGATTAGCTGTAGAGAATTAAAGAGAAAATCAACATCGGTGGAGTCAAAGAAGTGGAAAACTATGAAAAATCAGGAGCAAGCACACTTGCAGACAAAATAGAAGAGTAAAAGTTACAGCAAAAACATCGTAAATGTACTCAAGTAAATGTAAATGTTGATGCATTTTACACTATTAATACGTACAATTCCAGAGAAAAACTACTCACTTACAGTGATGAGTATTTGAAATTTGCTACTTTACACTCCTGCATGTAATCACATGTTACTCACATAATCATATGAAAAACATGATTACATGTGAAATGTGTGTTAAATACAACATGTTAAAGAATTTCTGTAAAAAAAATAAGACAAGTATGATGCTTTCAATGTGTGGTACAGTACAATACTGTAACTTGTCTGGTATGCTCTTATCACTGATTGTGATTGTGCTTTACAGATTACCACTGAATAAATACACTTATACATAGACCTTTTCCTCACACCCTGGATGACCAATAGAAACTTTCAGTTCACCATAATGCATTCAGGCATTTTGATTTTTCTGAAATGCTTCGGTTTATAGTCAGCTGTGTTTAAGGTCAAAATGCATCGTGGTATTTGAATTGTGGGTGAGTGGGCTTTAAAGGCCATCTGCAACTTGAT